TAGCTATGTCTTTCTGTTTACCACCAAACTTCTGTTTAAAATAATTTATGCACAACATTGTTACTGAATCTTCAAGGTTTTAAAATGTAGTTTCTTCCCAAATTTGCATTCCTAAATTCACCAGTGACCTCCTAGACCTCTTTTTCACTCTTCTCCTCCTTGCTACTCTTTCTACAGCATTTGGTGCAAAGGTACATCACACACTGCTTATTAGAACTCTTCTTCCAGAAGTCTTTCTTTATTTCTTCAAGAACAAGCTGTATGTTTGTTTATCATGATGCTTGTGACTGTGTATGGCAGTGTCCTGCACTAAACTAAAAATGTCTTAAAGCAGGGGTTATGTCTAGTCAGCCAACATCTTCCCGCTGTCTGACTGCTCAATAAAGATTTGTTGAATAAAAAGATGAATACTGCTATGAGATCAACAACAAAGCACCAAAGAGATATCCTTCCTAAGAATACTGGAGAAGGGGAAATTTGGGGGCTTGGGCATTTTGTGTGTGTGTGTTTTTTTGGGGGCTATGTTTGTTTTTTGCTGGAACAATAATGTATTGTTTACTGAAGGAAAATTCCTAACACTCAGATCTCTGTAGAGTACAGAATAATATACCTATAGCAGAGTTACACAATCAAGTAGTCTACTGTGGCTCTGTGGGATAAGCACTGAACTGCTAACCACAGGTTAGAATTAGTGGTTGAAACCCACCAGTAGCTTCATGGAAGTGCTATATAGGGTCACTATGAGTTGGAACGACTGGATGACACTTTACATTAACAGCAACACTAAACAGCTAAGGAAACATAAGCAATGCCATCAAGTTGATTCTGACTCATGGCAACCCTATGTGTTACACAGGCTGTCACACAGCCCTATGTGTTACACGGATTGTCACACAGCCCTATGTGTTACACGGGTTGTCACACTGCCTTATGTGTTATACGGGTTATCACATAGCCCCATGTTACACAGGTTGTCACACTGCCTTATGTATTAAACGGGTTGTCACACAGCCCTATGTGTTACACAGGTTGTCACACAGCCCTATGTGTTACACAGGATGTCACACAGCCCTATGTGTTACACAGGATGTCACACAGCCCTATGTGTTACACGGGATGTCACACAGCCTTATGTGTTACACGGGTTGTCACACAGCCCTATGTTACATGGGTTGTCACATGGCCCTATGTGTTACAAGGGTTGTCACACGGCCCTATGTGTTACACGGGTTGTCACACAGCCCTATGTGTTACATGGGTAGTCACAAGGCCCTATGTGTTACACGGGTTGTCACACAGCTCTATGTGTTACATGGGTTGTCACACAGCCTTATGTGTTACATGGGTTGTCATACAGCCTTATGTGTTACACGGGTTGTCACACAGCTCTATGTGTTACACAGACTATGATCTTTATAGATGCAGACTGCCAAGCAGGTGTCAAACTGCCAACCTTTTGGTTAGCTGTTGTGGTTAAGTGTTGTCGAGTTGATTCCAACCCACAGTGACCCTGTCTGTATAGGGTTTCCAAGGAGCAGCTGGTGAGCTTGAATCACTGACCTTGTAGTTCAAATGACTTTGCAGTATGACACAATAGTGCACAGTGCCACACCAGTAGACAGATATAAACTTCTTGGCCACCCAGGCACAGAAGGGAAGTTTTGAATAAAATGGAAGATTAGAATAAAGATGACATTCTAAAGGAAAAGGGAGCATGTAAGTAGTATGATGGGCTATGGACAATGAGAGAACAACATAAAAATACGAATAAATTAATTAATGTATTCATCCATTTATTCACTTGACATTTACCATGTATCAGGCAATTAAGAAAGAAAAGAGGGAGAAATAAAAAAGATAGTCACGACATAATACTTGTCATCATGGCTCTTTGTGTCTTAGGGTGGAGAGAACTGGTAGAAAATAGTAGTATGGTACTTTGTCACTGAATGGTGGTGGTGGTGGTATACCATCCGTGGAGTCAGTTCCCATTCAGTGATCCTCGATAGTGTTTCTGAGGCCGTACATTTTTACGGGAGCAGAAAGTCTCATCTTTCTCCTGCGGAACCCTGGTAGTTTCAAACTGCTGACCCTGAGGTTAGCAGCCTGATTCATAACCACTATGCTACCAGAGTTCCTTTGTCACTGAGTAGCAGTCTGAATCTAATGTTAAAATATCAGGACAAGTTTAGAATATCACAAATCAGTTTCCTCTGTCTGTGTATCTCCACAAGCTAGGTCTGTTAATAACAGCTCACAAGCGTTAGTATGCATAAGGATCATCTGGGAATCCAGTTAAAGATGCAGAGAAATCTCCCATAAATCCTGATTCTGTGAATCTAAGAATAAGAATCTATATTTTTAATAAACATATTAAGTGATTCTTATGCTTTGGTCTACAGAAGCACTACTGTAGAGCCCTAATTCACTGTCATAATTTTTGTAGTATCTTAGTTCCATCTATAACATTATTTTCTTATTTATCTATCTGTCTGTCAGTCAGTCAGTCAGTCAGACTGGCATGATGCTGCAGGATAATGTATTGGGCTGCTAACTGTGAGGTTGTCAGTGGTTCAAACCCTCAAGTTGCTCTTTGGAAACCCTATACCGAGTCACTATGAGTTGGAACCAACTTCATGGCATTTAACAACAAGCACAAAATTTTTGATGAGTTGTATTTTTGCAATACACATGAAACAACTATTAAAAATGTCTGTCTGTATACATAATGAATGGGAAATAGTTTAAGAAGTATAGCTAGAGTTTACGCCCTGCAAACTCCAGGCCATCAACCTAGTCTGATGATATAAATTATTACCAAAAGTTTCAAGGCAGTAAAGCTCAGCAGAATTGTGTGTCAGAGAAGACCAAGTGCATACTTTAGTATCTTTTAGGGTTTACAGAATCCAAAAGTTTTCTAGATTATTGTTCTAAATATTATAAAACAACTTACTATAAAACTCCTCCCCATATTGACTATTTATTTTAAAAAGTGTTGTGTCTTTTATTCTGGTGCTTAACTCTCAGAATACTCTTGAACTATCACCAGAGCCAGCTTCTAACCACTAGGATATCAAACTTAAGCAGCAGTTGAAGCAAAACATACATAGATGAGTGCTCTTGAATCACAATGAAATACCCATACATCTTATTTAGTTACATTTAAGACAAGTAATTTTAAAGATATAAACTTCATAGTCATCTTTCATTTCTTTCAACCCCAAAGCAATTTATAATAGGCAGAAAAAATAAGGCAAACATATCAGGGGGATAACTGTATCTCAAAACCATCTATTCCTTAAAGGCTTTGGCAACCACAGAGAGAAGGTTAAAATAGAAAATCTTCACCAAGTGAAAAGGTTATGCAGGTACTGAGTCTTTATAAACAATGCTGCTATAAGTGCCTTCAAGTGGTGTGAATCATGTATAGAATTTCAGAGCAGCAGCTGGTGAGTCTGAACCACTGACCTTGCAGTTAGCAGTGTGGTGCTTATCCTACAATGTTGTTGTTGTTGTTAAGTGCCGTCGAGTCGGTTCCGACCCATAGCGACCCTGTACAGGGTTTCCGAGGGTGTAAATCTTTACGGGAGTAGAAAGCCTCATCTTTCTCCCGCAGAGCAGCTGGTAGTTTTGAACCGCTGACCTTAAGGTTTGCAGCCCGATTCGTAACCACTACGCTACCAGATATCCTACAATAGCTGCTATAAATTACATTTTTGCTTAGATTCTTGAATGGATGTCTTTTGGTTACCATATTGTCACTGTGTCCCAAGTCAGTTCTATGTATGTGTAATCGCTAGTCAAACGGAATGACAGACAGATAAATGACTCTGGGCTTGAGCTCTATATTACTTAAGTCAATCGGAAGATTTACTACTGATTTATAAAGCACTTTGGGATCACCATGAGTGAGACAGAATCAATTCGACAGCAGCTGGTTTGTTTTATTTACCCTGTTTAGAATGAAAGGATTATTGCAATAGCCTCCTAACTAGGCTCCCTGCTTCAGTCCTTATTCACTCAAGTCTATTCTCAACACAGCAGTCAGGGAAATCCTGTTAAAATATAACAGGATCAGTCAGATCAGTCACTCTTCTGCTTAAAACTGTCCAGCAGTTCCCCAGCTCAGCGTAAAAGCCAATCTTTTAAACGGCCTACAAAGCCTAATACACAATCGTCACACCTCCTAGCCCATTTCATATTATCACTCGCCCTTTGCTCACTGTTTCAATTACATTAGCTTCTTTGAGGTTCCTTGCTCACACTGGGAACAGTCTAATTCCTGGACCTTTGTAGTTAGCTGCTGTTCCTTTTGCCTGGACTGACCTTCCCACACACAGCCATCTATATAGCTCTGGTCTATCCCTCAGATGTCACCTTCTAAGTGAGTCCTCTTATGATCACCTTACTTATAATTACTGCGCTCCCCCGACACATAAGTATTTCCTATCCTTTGCTGTGCTTTGTTTTCCGCATAGCATTCTAGGAGTGTATGTTTTGCTCAGCACTTGTTTCTCCAAAGTGTGTGCACTTCTCTTACGTGAAGTCCATCTGCTTCGTCCACCACTATATCCCACTGCTAAGATCAGAGTCTAGCACATAGTAGATGCTCAATGAATATGTGCTTAATGAACCAACAGTATTACTTCCACTTTGAGATTTTCAGCGTTAACACTACTAAGCGCTGGAAATACGAGCAGCAGGGACGTCCCAAATTTCCAGATGGCACTTGACGTTGGTGAACTTACACGCAGTATCTTTTGTCTGGTACCTCGGCATCCCTTCTGATGTTTCTCAATAAGGCAACAGGGAAATCCCTAACTAGTGTACAAGGAGGATGCAAAGCAATCGTGAATAAAACGGATTTTGCTCTTATCCACAACTCCATAAAGAAAATGCCTTTTGAGCGGCTACCGTTCCTCCTGCTGAAGAGGGGGGAGCGACGCGGAGGCCCGGCACACCTTCTTGGAGAGCGTCCCCTCGGGTGCAGTCCAACTTACTTTTTGGGGGGTGGGCACATCGTTCCCGGGCTCCGCAGTGAGGTGCTTCTTTTCACCCTTGGAGGTGCCCATTGTGCTGCGTCTTGACGAGGAGGGAAGGTGGGAGAGGAGCGCGGTGGGCGGCATGCAGAGCGCGCCCCGAGCTGCCTGCTCACCCCCAGGCGGGGAGCAAGGGCTCCGCGCGGGGGCTGGGGGGCCAACGAGCGCCGGGGGCGCGCGCCTCAGCCCGCAGCCTCGGGCCGGGGGCGCGGGCAGGACGCCGGCTGCGCGGAGTTAGGCCCGGACCCAGCCCCGTGGCCGCCCAGCTGCCGGGCGCGGGGCCCCCGCGCACCCCACTCACCCCGCCCCCCCATCCGGATCCCTTCTGTTACCTCGAACTCTCTTCAGCGAAATGGGATCTTTCTCCTGTTCTGCTGACATTACAGACCGCAAAGCATGACTCCCCCCCAGGCCGCGGGAATTCGGTCTCTTTGATGCTGCTGCTGCTGCTGCTGCGGCGGCGGTGGCGGCGGCGGCTCCTCCTCCTCACGGGGCCGCTGCGGCTGCTAGGCGAACCTTCAAGCCGAGGCGCGGCTGAGGGCGGCGGGGACGCGGGCCGACTTTGCAAAGTTTGGGTGGTGGACGAGGCCTCGGGGCGGCCGGGCAGCGTGCTGGGAATGCCCGGCTCAGCCGCAGCGGCGGAGAGCGCGGCCTGAGGGCGGCCCGCAGCCCCCGGCCGGCATGTGCGAAGGACGAGTGCGCCGACGCCTCCTCCTACTCCTCCTTGGCCGCCGCCGCCGCCGCCTCAGGAGCCTCTGACAGGGGAGGCAGGCGGCACGGCCCTGGCAGCGCCCTCACAGCGCCCTCTGAGGAGGAGGTCTGCGTTCTCGCCGCTCCCTAGTCGCAGACACAAAAGCCCCCAGCTTGAAGCCGCCTGCACAGCAAAGCCCGCTCTGGGGCGGGCGAGGGACGTGGCGCGGCCCCGCGGCTTCCCCGCCCT